TGGTCATTAGTTTTCAGTACATCAAATCTATTCTTGATATGGTCTCTAAATTCAGGTAGGATATACTCAAAGTTGTATTTTGGCTCTCAGGGACTTGTTTTCATTTTCTTAAGCTTCAGTCTAAACTTGCATATGAGCAATTAATGATCTGTTCTACAGTGGGCCCCTGGCCTTGTTTTGGCTGATGATATTGAGCTTCTCCATCATCAATTCCTACAAATGTATCAATTAGATTCTTGTGTATTAAGTATGGTGAGATTCACCAATATGTTGTTTTAAAAAGTATCTGCAATGAAGAAGTCAATGGTCTTGCAAAATCGTATATCAGGTAATCTCCAGTATCGTTTCTATCAACAAGGCCATATTTTCCAGTTACTGATCCTTCCTCTTTGTTTCCAACTTTCACATTCCAATCACCAGTAATTATCAATGCATCTTGATTGCATGTTTGATCAATTTCAGACTGAAGACACTGGTAATCTTCAATTTCTTCATCATTGGTTTTAGTCATAAACTAGAGGATAAAATAAAGGGTCAGTAAAAAAGAGGAATCCCAGTGAGATGGATTAACACAATGAGTGCAACAATGGGCTCAAACAGAAACAATTGTGAGGATGGCGCAGGACCGGGCAGTGTTTGAGTCTCTGTGCATAGTGTCTGAACTGACTCCATGGCACCTAACAACAACGACAATTTCAAAATGAAAAATCTAAGACAAATGCGCAACTGGACTGAATCCCAGGATATTAGGTGTACATCTGGATGGTCTCTAGCAATTAAGAACTTAAGGGGGTCAAAAATTACTGCTACAAAGTCATAGAAAGCTTTATTAAACAAAAATATGAAAAAGTGAAGCTATGTTTCATGATGTACCCTCCATGTAGGTCTACACACTTCTGAAGATGGTGTTCCCATCTCTTTAAACCTTCCCTAAAGAATTCTGCACTCTTTGTTTTGCACCGCATCAATATGACAGTTAGGGCATCCTTGAAAGACACAAATCATGTTCCCTTTCAATGTTCTTTGAGTTTTGGAAACAAATACAAGTCTGAAGGGGCAAGATTAAGGTGATAGGACTGATTGGGTAAAGTTTCCCAATGAAATTCTAGTAGGATAGCCCTTGCTACCTTTGAAGAATTAGCAGGTACATTGTTGTGACAGAAAAGAATTCCTTGACTCAACTTTCCTGGTCTTTTTCTCACCAGTGCAGTTTTCCATTTTCTTAAAACTTCTTCATTATAAGCCCCCGTGATCTTTCAAGGAAATTCATCCAGATTGACCCTTTGAAGTCCAAAAGAAACAGTCACTATAGTGCTGGTGTGGTGCTACGAGTTAATGGCTGGACTGCAAGGTCAATTTAAACCTCAAGGTCAGCGGTTCAGGCTCACCAGCTGCTCCTTGGAAACCCTATACAGGGTCACTATGAGTCAGAACCAACTCAATAGCACTTTCCAACAACAACAATAACAAAACCTTCTAAGCTGACCTCTCTCCCTTGAATTTAACTGATACTGTAGAATAAGCATGAGTGGTTTAAATTCACCAGCCAGTCTTCAGAAACCCTATATAGAGTCACTATGAGTTGGAACTGACCGCACTTAACAGTAACAACAACAGATCCCCTTGGAAGGCACTGTTTTTATTGGACATTTTTTTCAAGGCACCCTAAGGAGACTAAAGAAGCCCTGGTTGTGCTGTGCGTTAGGCATCGGACTACTAACCACAAGATTGGCGATTCAAATCCACCAGTTGCTAGGTGGTAGATGCAGCTGTCTCCTCCTGTAAAGATTTACAGTCTCGGAAACCCTACGTAAGATCGCTATGAGTGGGAATCAACTGATGGCAGTGGATTTGGTTTTTTGGTTTGATAATGAGGCTAAGCCAAGTCTAGCTGAGATAACTTATTTGCAGCCATCCACTGAACACAGAGTCATGTTTAAACACATTTTATTTGGAACAACTCCACACATCTATGAACTGGAACCCTAATAGCAATACTTTTTAACTTAACCTTGTACCGTCAACCTGATATAACCCATTGGATTTATTTTCCAGGATGCTGCCAGAGTGGTCTTTCTAAAACACAGCCCAGACCAGATCACGTCCTTGTTTATTATTCTTCAAGTACTCGCCATTGCCCTAAGCCCAGAGTCCTGATGTGGCACTGTTGGATAAGTACTGAACTGCTAACCACAAGGTCCACTTCAAACCCACCAGCAGTTCAAACCCACCAGAAACCCTATACAACATCGCTATGAGTCAGAACTGACCTGAGGCCATGTAACAACAGCCCTAAGCCCTGGTGACACAGTAGTGAAAGCACTCATCTTCTAGCTGACAGTTCAGCAGTTTGAACCCATCAGCCACTCCACAGGACAAAGATGTAGTAGTCTGCGTTCATATAGATTTATAGCCTTGGAAACCCTAAGGGGCAGTCCTATAGGCTGCCATGAGTCAGAAGCCACTGGATGGTAGTGGAGTTTGTTTGGGTTTGGATTCTAAGGTCAAAACTCAATCCCCTTGATGCAGCGGGAAAACTGGCCCTGCCCACCTCATCTCTGACCACTTCCTTCCACATCCTTTCCCCTTCCTCCCCCATGACCTTTTTTTTGGTTGGTTGACAGCTCATTAAGATTCATTTTATGATTATATATTATTGAGTATTTTTGTGTACATCCTCCCCCCATCCCACCCCTCAAAAAGAGGGAATAGAAGCAAATACTGTTAAATGATGATGCACAGAGAGGATTGTAATCATTACAATGAAACGATGAGTATAAAACCAATGTTCTCCCATGTAAGATAAGGAGCTCTGGTTGCACAGTGGTTACGAATTGGGCTGCAAACCTTAAGGTCAGCAGTTCGAAACTGTTCCACGGGGGGAAAGATGAGGCTTTCTGCTCCCATAAAGATTTACAGCCTCAGAAACCCTGAACCGACTCCATGGCACATAACCACATCTCTCTTTTGCAAGCAGCGTTTAATCAAGACTTTGGCCTGACAACACACACAGAGAGATAACAGAAATGACAATACAGGTGATGAGAAAGCAACCATGCCCACATGGCCCAAACACACTTGCACCTCCTACAGCCCCGCCTATGGGGTGAGGGCCACTACTTACTCCTGCACCACCTGATTATCAATATATAGCAGCCAACACCAACCAACCCTGTCTTCAAATGTGTTACACAAACAGAGAGCAGGGAACTAACTGTACACACGCTCACATTCTCTCTCATACTTACCAATAACACATGAACATACGATCATCAATTACGTACACATACAACACCATGATGTCTCAGAGAAAAAAGACAATTTTAATTCACATGAAGAAGAAAGAGTGGTTCAAACAAGTTACCAAAATACAGAGCCAGAAGACCTTCTGAGAAAGAAATGTCATGAGAACAACCTGATAAGGAATTTAAAAGAATGATATTTAGGTACTTTCAATAGGTTGAGAGAAAGAGCAGGAAAGTTATAGACCAAATCAAAGGAAACCCAGAAAGAAAAAAACTTCAGAAGAATTTAAGAGAACACTGTAAGAACAAACTAACAAAATAAATGAAAAACTAAGAACTATGCAAAAACAGCAAATAGAAATCCAGAATATCAATACTCAGGTTTCAGAAATAGACAGTACATTGAAAGGACAAAGGAGTAGAATTTAATCAATGGAAGGCTAAATTACTGAGGTTGAAGACAAATCTCTCAATACTAATCTAATAAAGGAACAAGCACAAAATAAAGAACAAACAAAACAAATCCAAAGAAAGCCTAAGGATTATATGGGACACTACTAAAAGGAATAACTTATGTGTGACCAGAATTCCAGAAGAGGAAGAGACCCCAAAAAAAGCACAATGAAAATTGTTGAAGAGTTGTTGGAAGAAAACGTCACTAACATCATGAAAGAAGAGAAGATAAACATTATGCATTCAAGGAGCTCAACAAACACCAAATGGATAGACCCAGGAAGAAGATCACCAAGACATATCATAGTCAAACTTTCCAAAACCAAAGACAAGGAAAGAATCCAGAGAGCAGACTGGGGAAAATGAAAAATCTCCTACAAAGGATAACCAAAAAGACTAAACTGTGATTTCTCCGCAGAAACCATGCGAACAAGAAGGCAATGGGTTGCTTTTCCTCCCCGGATGCCTGAGCATCTGCGCCATCATGAATGACAGAATAACTATTCGGACAAAGAAATTGATGACCAACCGACTACTTCAGCAGAAACAGTCATTCCACCCCGGGAAGGCAACAGTACCTAAGACAGAAATTCGAGAAATATTGTCCAAAATGTATAAGACGACACCAGATGTCATCTTTGTGTTTGGATTCAGAACCCATTTTGGTGGTGGCAAGACTACTGGCTTCGGCATGATGTACGATTCCTTGGATTATGCAAAGAAAAATGAACCCAAGCATAGACTTGCAAGACATGGCCTGTATGAGAAGAACAAAGTCTCCAGAAAACAGCACAAGGGACGCAAAAACATAATGAAGGAAGTCAGGGAGACTGCAAAGGCCAATGTTGGTGCCGGCAAAAAGAAGGAATAAAGATTCTGCGGTGACTGTGGATTTTTCACCAGAGGATTCATAAACCCTAAAATCTT